GCATCCGAGTATTCCCGGAATATGCTTCGAAGCTTTCAAGCATCCGACTATTCCCAGAATATGCTTTTGGGCTTTCGAGGATTCGACTGTTCCCGGAATACCCTTCTAGACTTTCAAGGATCCGAATGTTCCCTAAATATAGTTCTAGGCTTTCATGGATTCGAGTTTTCCCGGAATAGTCTCGTAAGGTTTCGAGGATTCGTGTGTTCCCACAATATTTTTCTATGGTTGTAATCAACTGACTTTTTTCGGAGTACCGTTGTAGGCTTTCAAGGATCCGATGATTTCTGGGATATTAGTCTCGGTTTTGGAGATCCTGTGCATGCTTTGAGGACTTTGGGAAAGTTTTACAATCCGGGTTGGATGTGAAAATTTTTGGTAGAGCATTGGGAACCTGAGTATGTCGTGAGAGATTGAAGTAGGCTCCAGCAATTCGTCTAGGCTGTCGAGGATTGGAGTAGGCCCTCGAAGAGCCGATTAGGCCCTGTTGATTTGAACAAGTTGTGGAAGGCGTTAGTATGCGACGGAGCACGGTGATTGACAGTTAAGGGTCTCAGAAGTTCATAAGAGATTGTCATAATCAGTTCGGGGATACTCATTTATCTTTGCAGATGTTAGAATATATCTTACATAGAATATGGACAGCATTTCAATTATTTTATAATGCAAAATCGCTATGAGCTGATGCTTTCATCGTGCAGAACTGGATGCATTCGATATATTTTGTTGAGATTAGGTTATCTATGATAATGACAATTATAAAACGCATTACGAGGTTTGCGATCATTTAACGTACAACTTCATACAGCGATGAAAGAAAAAAATGAAAAAGACAATAGCTTTACGAGTGTTACATCTTATGGCCAAAAGTAATTTGATTTACAACTAATATGTTTTTTTCACTACCGAACTGTTTCTTTGTTTGTTTTTCTCAATAAAGAGAGAATCGTAAAGAGCGTGTTGGAAGATCAATACACACGGAAAGAGTAGAGACAGAAGAAGAAATTAGAAAAGATTAAAAAAGAAAATGGGCGTTTCATTTATCTTCTCGAAACTAGATGACATTATCATAAGATGAAAAGGAAAGGTGACAGACGGTCATTCAACTCGATGCCTAAAAATATTCCACACCATAGGTTACAAAGATTTTCTGAACATTATACACTATGTGTAACCATAAATTAATTCTACTCGGTCGTTATTGATTTCTTCTCTTTTTATATGTTCATATACATACACACACTTACTTCAAAGACAATGCCAAAGGAGGTATTTGATCTAATATAATCTGAGAGCCAAAAAAAAATATAAACGTATTATTATAAGGTATAAGTATCTTTTTAACTGCCGTATTCCACCGACAGATATTCTCACTGAAAACTCAACATTATATACTCAACGAAAAGTAAAAAAAAAAGAAGAGCTCCCTTGGTGATGTAATATTATGCATCTAACAGGAAAATACATTTCGATAAGTGGCATCTGTAGAATGAGTCTCTAGCAACGCGAGATGAAAAACATTGACAAAACTACTAAGTATGGAAAGAAAGTAATAAATTAAACATAGTAGAAAATGTTTTTTTTCTTTTTATTAACTACAGGAAAATCAAATGAAATGGAATCTTCGATCTTGAAATCAGGACATATAATTACATACGATCAAATCTTTATTGTACAACAGTCTAAGAATGAAAAATAATCGGATCGCATTTCCCACAAATGTAAGATTTTCTACGTAGGGACCACCACTCAAGTAAAATAAAACTAATTAATTAGTATAACATCTCTGTTTTTCTACATAGAACAAAATGAAAATCACCTTTGGTTATGATGGAAAAACTAAAATAATATCGAACTTTATGAAAAATTCTTTTCTGTTCAAATCTTCGAAGAAAGGGTGTGGGTGTGGGTGCGGATTAGGATTTGGGTCTGAGTTTGGGTGTGAATGTATATGTGGGTGTGGGTTTCGGTTTGGGTGTGGGTGCGGGTTAGGATTTGGGTTTGGGTGTGGGTTTGGGTGTGAGTGTATATGTGGCTGTGAGTATGAAGATCTCTTCTTTAAACCCACACCCACACCCGCACCCTCACGCATAACCCTCCTTTCAGTAGAGGAAATAACTGAATACTAAGGTTCTGGGCTCAACTTAACACCCAACAGCCAAATTATAACTGAATACTCGAATCCTCAGCTAAACCTAGATCAAACACCCAAATATAATACCCAAAGTTCGACACCGTTTCGGTTTGTACATGTCTATTCATAAGGCTAAATACTACAATATATGCGGAAATATCCTATGATAACTTTACACCATGTCCAAATCTGTACTGTTTTTTGCTGAGTCAGCATTAGTTTTTTTCTTTTTTCCTATATTGATACAAACACTTACCTTCGAGACAACAGGCAACAAGCAAACTGATGTAACACAAATTGTGAGCAAAAGGATGTTAGAATCTAGTGTTATTACTTCTAATTACCTTTTTCACTTTTGTTTTCCACTAACACAAATTCTCACGCACAACTCAATATTATATACTCGAGAGAGAGAAAAAGAAAGAGAGAAAAAAGAGACGAGATTTTATTTGCTACCACAGACGCCGAGTATCGTATAGAGGACTGCATTTTGATGAGTAATACATGCAAAAAAAGGCAGTGAGAGTCAATAGCAACGGAAGAGAAAAAAGACTGACAGAAATTACTGAATTTAGAAAAAAAAATGAATATAATGTAGCAGGTAATATGTTTTATTCTTCGTACTGGCAACAGAAAAATGAAATTAAATGGATTCTCAAAACTTTTTCTCCATGTTAATTGCTGTCATCATTAGCATAAATCTCTAATTTCGAAGATATAATTTAATCTTTGAATATGATTACCCAAATATCAGTATATCCAAATGTCATATAGACATAATAATCAACTTCTACATCTAAAATTAATACAGTTCAATTCATCTATAAGTGTTGAATAAGTATAGAACATATATATATATGAGTTTGCGAGGCAGAAAGGAAGGATTAAAAGGACACAGGCCATTTTCGGTAGGGGATTTGATGATGTGTAGTCATTAAGTTTTAAAAAATCACGATCCACGCACAGTTTGACCCATCTATTGTCAAATAATCTACTATATTGTTAATGGAATTCACGAACATCGAAGAGTACCAGTTTCTCTCTTTAGTCTCATGTTACACTAATATCGTTGTAAATATTTATTTACAAATATTACTTTTTCCTAGTTAATTTAGAATTTTTTCTTCTTTTTCTGCAAATAAACTCGGTAAGTCTAAAGATCATAGTACTAAAAGATTGCACTGTTTTTCATTTGAAATGGTGTTTATGAAAATGGATT